GGGTCAACGATACTCCACGGGACGCGACGCGACTCGACTCGACTCGGAGAGAACGAAGACGGCGAGAAAGCCAGCGACCTTTAATCTTTCATGGAAAAGCGACAGCCCTCGATCGCGGTCCATGCCACGAATCTCTCGATACTCGCGTTAGCCATCGTCCAATCAGTGAGTCACTTGTTTCGTTCTATGGCTTATGAAATCTCGTGCTTCCTTATTGCTACGTTTCCATGAAACGAGATAAAGCGTACACACGCCGTGCGCTCGGCATTATATCTGCTCGTTAACTCTGTCAATTTACGAGTGAAACGTTACGAGGGAAGTTTCACGAGATAGGACGGATTAACGAACCGAGCACCGAGCTCCTTCTGTATAGTTTTCCGTTCTGGTCTTGCGTACGATGCATTTCACGCGTGGACGTAAAGGTTAAAGCGACTTCGATTGAGAAACTAGTTTGTTAAAGGAAAACAAGCCGAGGTAGCATGAAGTGACACTTTAAGAGAGTCCTGGATAGACTCTATGGTCTAAGATAAATTTGGTCTTTAGCAATTTTGTTAAATATGAACGTCAAGAGTAGCAATACACAGCGTCGTACAGACGCGACGATTCTTTTTGAAAGAAGGTAGAAGTAACTGTGACAGAAGACATTTCGGCACGATATTTAATGATACCGATCGTGAAAGCGAGTCTTGACAGCGTGAAACGGTTGAAATTGTTCGTAGAATTATCGAGAGGCTAAGGTAAATACTGGGTTCGATACATCGGTCCGCGACGTTCGACGGTTTTAAATAGCGTTACGGAGCCGATGAGTCAAGCCACCGAAATACCCGTATTTGCGGTCGCTTTACGCAGATCACGTCGACCAAAATATTCCACGGCTTGCACAGGTGCTAAGACACTTATTATGTGATGTAAATGGGAGAACGCGACGCGTCTAGGTGATATATGGTTACGGCGAGCACTCGTATTATGCACCGATCCTCCTCTCTCTTCCTTATTCTTGTCTAATCTCTCTCGTTTTCGCGATAGTTTCCATCAAATATTTAAATAAGTATCAAGAAATTCTACTTTAGAATACGACTGCTTCTGTTCTCATCGAATTTGCTCGTAATTTCTTTTACGATTCTTAAGCCTCGTTCGAATTAGCCAAGTTACCAGCATCGAAGTCTCTTTGAGAGTTTGAGTAACGTGACTTAAAGTGGATACAGGTAACGCAACGTTTAAATATTTTCTTGATACACTCCTTTGTCATCACGTCTTTCAGCAACGTGCCTATAAACGAACGGTAGCTGAAACAACGTCTGTCGTGACACGTGCTTCGCATCAGCGCAACAACCGTAACCGTGTTCTCGAGTCCGCTTAAGCGACACTTAATCCTTTATCAAGCGCGAGTAACTGGCATCGAGGCGAACGATTGACTCGATTAACCTTGGAGGATGTCGTTCATAAGCGAACCTGAAATAATGGCCGCGACTCCGGTTGCATAATAATCGACGCCGCGGCGTGGTTCGTTCGAGAGTGAAAGCACGTTCTCGCCGATGCGAGTCGGCCCGCATTAGAATCGTTGCCGGTTGCTGGTGAGCGCGACACCGTTACAAACCGCTCCGTAATCTACGTACGGTGCAGATAACGCGACGAAACGCAACCACCGGTCTACATTGGTTTTCCTCGCTGCCACGTTGCTCGCTCGTTTCTCCTGTACAACGATAAATCGGGTGAATAAACTCTGCTGGAATGTCAAACGACATTTTTATCTCCGCTGGACGAATTTTTCAAATTTGTAGGTAATCAACTTTTATGCCAGAATCGAGACAGATATTTTTTACTTAGTTTACTTTACTGTAGTTTCAATTCCTCGGGTTATTAAAAATTAGGTAAAAGTTAGGTAAACGTGTAATATATTTATCGTAATGTACGTAATAAGATGTTATATAACAAGATATCTTTCTATGCATTATTAAATTGTACGCGAGACACCATTGACAAATTTACCGAACTTATCGTGCCATTGTCGCGAGAGTGACAGATCGAGCTGTTCTAATTTGGAAGTTGGACGTCGACCAATGGTCCCGAAACGTTACGAAAGACACGCTGCAAGCACCACGCTGGCCCAACTTAGACGTTACGTGATGCCTCCACGATCCTGCAACGCCCTTTTTCGTTTTATCTGCCGCAAAATCGCGAGATCTGTCGGAGTCGCGATTCCGACAACCCGAGGACGTTCTCGACGATCGACGAGCGATGCATCGATATATTTAGAGTGCCGTTGACGTGGATCGGGCGAAAAGCAGCAACGTTTTCGACGTCTGTTTATCGAGCTGTCTTGGCGCGAACGAGAAGCGCGTGAAAATCGTTGACGAGCCTTGTTGACTTTGTTCGTTCTTAGCGCGATACCGAGAGAACTAGGTGAAATATGGATCTTTATTTTCTGATCTTACGAGAGCAATCGTCGTCTCTGTTATCGCTATTTTGCAACTTCTCGCCGAGTCTGGTTTGAAATGCGATCAAACTGAATTGCCAGCTTATGTCGGAGATCGAGCACTGCGGTTCAAAGCTGCTATTAAATCTCCCTGCCAACAATCGAAACTCCAATTCACGAATTACCAACATACGTTTCAACCACGAACATTCTTTCCAAATTCATTTCTCCCTCTCTCTCTCTCTCTCTCTTTATTTACTCATCTATCTAAAGATTCTCTGTGAATTCTTGAACCAAAACTATTAAACACCTCTAACCAATGCCAGATAACGGAATCGTCAATTTTCGTTCAACGAACGTCGTCAAACACACCCAAACTCGGTGAAACTGGGCTGGAAAATCCGCAGACTTCCGCACGAACTCGGCCAGGCATAAGGTTTCGTGTCAATGCCGTGGCAACGGACTCGAACGACACCGTCCGTCGAGGCGACGCACGCCGCGCCGTGCAGGAACGAATCGCAGTGAGTCATCCGACTAATATTAGAAGGTGAGGAAGCTGCTTTGGCCCAGTCCCTCTCGCTCTTTCATTCTTTCTTCTTCCGTTCCGGCGGCTAGCAGCGCCGCCACCGAGTTTCACTCGTCCCGGCCCCGGCGAGTCTTCGGGTTCGTTGTTTGGAATGAGTAAACGCCGTGGAATTCGACGCTTCGAGCGGCGAGCGGCGCGCACAACCTGGGCCCGGGTTCTCTCAGCCTGCGGACAGGTGTAGCGCCAGCACCTGCTGCCTCTGTTCCGCGACTCCTCTCGCTTTGGACCGCTTACACGCGATAGACCAACTGTCCGAGATTGTTTTCACCGGATGATAAAGGTGAAAGAGATTTCCAAACACGATGGTTGAGCATGTTTTCGAGCAAGTGGGTTACTGATTTCAGATTCTTCCGTCGAGTCATCTTGTCTAAGAATGTTGGGACGCTTCTTTCATATTACTTTGGTTTTCTTGCTGCGTTTAGAGCATAGCATAACGACGGAAGTGGCTTCCAGCGACTGTACGCGGTCGTTGATTTAAAGGAAACGGAGTAAACTTGAAATTCCCAGGTGCTAGCTTAAAAACGGTGGAAACGTTTGTCGATATTCTCGATGAATAGATAATAATCGGCTACGATTTAGGAACCGATCGTTTGCAAATGAGTAGGTTTATGGGTTAGATGGTCATTACGAATATCGGGAGTAAGTATTTTGATAGTTGCTCGGTATCTAGAGAGAGAACGAGAGAGAGAGAGAGGCGTTTTTTCAGTCACAGGGTCGATTGAGCAGTCACGAAGTTAACGATCATTGGGAAGGTTTGCCTGCCTGATAATTCAAGTTCGTTATGTCTAATGATGTAATAGTAACGATCGTGTGATTTCGTTCAGGGTTCAACGTGGTTAGCATACTTGGCAATAAAAACTCTTTTCGTCTTGTTAATCATCAACTATATTGATCGATTTAACGTATAAAAGACAGACATATATATACACACATGTACATACATACATACACACGTATGTAATAGAAAACTTTGAGGCAGGATAAAAAGGAAGGTGTTAACAAGCATCGGAATTCACATGATTTCGATTGTTTAACAAAGTTATTATTACCCAAGTGAAATCAATTTTCACCGTGTGTAATCCCTGCGTGCATTCCACTTTCGTCATCTATTCCCTTGAAAAGCAGTTTTCAAATTTCTCTAGTCACTCTTTGCTATACGTTTCTTTCACCGCCAGGAAAACGAACGAAAAGAAAATAAACAGAAGAACCGAAGCGTTTCGTAATACCGAACGCGTGAGCGTGTCCTCCTAAGACGTTCCACGGAAGAACAACGGGTCCAAAAGCGTTCGAGGTAACGTAACGCTCCAGAATGATCTCAGCCCAGTCGAGAATGATCTCACTTATCCACGTTCCCGATTACGCTTGCAATTACACCGATCTCCCATCCAGATAAGTATCAGCAACCCCATCCAGTTCAATTAAAGGAAAGACCAGTCGCCGTTCAAGATTCACCAGTCTTTCAGCGAATCGTAACGTCGGCCGCAATCGCTTCAACGACTACCAAACACGCTTGTCGATCGGACGACCAAGAACCGATAGCGGTCAATGATAATAAACAGATGTGCCGGGAACACGATAAAACGGCACATAGTTGGTTAAAGAAGGGAGGAAAAAATAGGTCTGAACGAAACGTTCCTGCTGGGTTCGTCAGACGCACCTACCTTTCCCGATCGATCGAACCGGTTCGCCTTTACGACGAAACCAACAGCCGCCTCACGAACCGTGCCGGTGACGCACCGTTGTCGTCGTTCGAGGCCTGTTCACCAACCCGTCGTGCACTCCGTATCCCGATAACAGTCGACGATAATCCACGTGCGACCGCATGGAACCACCACTGTCCTCACCGGCGGATTTCGAGGCACAACGTCCTCGAGGACGCGACCGGTAACGAGAGGAAAGACTAGGCTGGTACACGGAGAAACAGGACCGAAAAAGGACGAAAAAAAGGTCAAGGGGAATTAGAAGAGAGAAAATTAATAAAAGGGAAGAACGAAGCGACGAAGAGGGAAGGTAAAGTAAGGTGGTAATAGAGGGAGAAAAGAATGGAAACGAGAAAAGAAAAGAAAAAGAAGGAAAGGGAGGAGAAGAGAAGAAATAGATTATTCTCGGTTACGAGAACGAGATGTTCAGGAGAGCGTTGGCACGCGGGTGCGACGTCCCCCGTGCCTGGCTCGTTTCGTCAACATTTCCGGTTGCGCTGTGCTACCACGATAGGGGGCCGGAAGTAAACACGATGCTGACCGTGTGATCGACCGAGCGTGCTCGATAGATCCGTTCACGGCGGCCGACGAGCTGAGACTGAACGGCTCGTCCCCACGGAACGCCCGATCGCGATCTACGAGTACTACCAACGCGAGGCCACGGCCCGGCTTGGCCATCGTGTGAGTGCCTTTCTATACGAACTTACTCGTGTGAGTGAGTGAGCGTACGGACCATCGCATCGGGAGGACTTGCCGAGGTACTCGGAGGCGCGCGCGCGCCATCAACATCGAGCAGGTACGTACACTAATGTTCAGCGCAATCGTTCGACCGGATTTTCCGAACTATTCGAAATTTTTCTTCAATTTCTTGACATTCGCCCCGTTTTTTAATTTGTTCGGTTAAGAAAGACGACCGATCGTATGTATTTCCGAGCTGGTTTAGTCGTAGTGTTTTGTGCTGCGCAACGAGCTCTTATCTCGGAATTCATTTTCGGACAATTCTTTGAAATATACTTGTCACGTTCCTTCATACATGACACGTTCAATAAATTTTCGAAGACGAATGTCGACAGATTCCATTTGGCCAGGAAGAAACAATAACTTGGTATTTCGGTAACACGCGCTTGTTAAGTTTCCTGCAACGAAAATGCTCGACGGGGTCAAAGAACCGTCGTTAATCATTTTCCTAAGGTTCAAAGCTGAAAGATCGGGAGCTCGACTAATTCGGTCGACGAATCACAGAAAATTGATCATTACTATGACAGTCTGATCATCAATCCTCGTTTTCGTTGTATGAAAAAAAAAAAAAAAAAAAGGAAAAGAAAATTACCGACAACTTTTGTCCATCCTCCCACGTCGTCCCGATTATATCAGTCTCGTCATAATGCGTGCTGATGTATTTGTTTTGCACACGTGTAACAGAAATTAGTAACTACTTAGCGAGTCTGCTCCACGAACGTATTAATAGATTCATGTATACTTGGTTTCAGATAAAATAAACACTCGTACAGAACGGACACCTTGTCTGTTGGTTAATTCTGTCCAGTCGACTATCGCACGCTTCAACTTTTTTAAACACGACATTCCCGTAAATTTCTTTTATCTACATCACGTTTCACCTTAAATTTATCACTTCGAACCCACCTTAAAATTATACCTAAAGTCCATGTTTGTAAAACTTTCAATCGTGTACAATATTTTATTTAAAATAAAAGAATACATCCCCGATATTTTGAATATAATAATTTCTTTCCGATGTCCAACGATCGAACCAAAGATCGCAAAAGTTCTATCGATGGCGACCGACTCGAAAGCAGAAGTGATTCACCTCGACTAGCGCACTATAAGTGAAATCTTCGATTCGCGTTATGTCAGATCAGTAAACGATAAGCATTATCGACGTTACCAAGAATTTCGCGATTTTTCCAAACGAACCACGATGCTCGTACGGCACTGTAAGGCGAGGCATCCGTGTGTGCATCGAGCGTACGTACAAATGCAGTCACGTACACGTGGAGACACGTACACGTGACTGAGAGCCAGCCAATGACTCACCTCTCGTTGGTAACACGCGCGCGCGAGTTCGCTGTCGCGAAGCTTCCTTTTTTCTTCTTTTTTTTTTTTTGAAAGATCAATGACGAATTTTCCATTGATAAGAACGATATCGCGACAATAAACAATAGGTTGATTGATCGTACGTCTCGATTCCACGAGATATTAACCCCGTCACGTGAAACGTCGGATGTCGATCTGGAATTGCTGAGAATACCATTTACCATTACCATTCTAAGTGTTCCATATCGCACCGATTGTCTATAATTTTTCAAAATTTCCGAAATTATGTTTGCGAGATAAACACGATTAAAATAATTTGCGTTAAACTTTCGAACGAGTACACGTTCCGACGTGAAAATCGCCAAAGTTCGACCTCCGCGTAAGTCGACTCGTTGTTTGCGAAAAATCTTCGTGTAAAATCGCGAGTGAATACTCGGATTCGCGGAATACGAGACGATCGAGTTTAGAAAAATTCGCTGAGCACGCGTCGACGCTACCCGACAAAAATTATTGCGAGGTCGATGTTGTCACCTGCGTTCCTGTCTCGTGCGACGCGGTGAAAGTTCACGCGACGTCCATCCATTCGGACGACTGGAAATCGTCGCGTCCCGAACCAAGCGTCTCTCTCCGTTTACTCAACGCGGCGCCGACCAATATGCTATTATTATCGTTCGTGCTGTTTTCTTTTCTGCCTCGTTTCTGCCAATGGCGATTTTCCCGATCGTGGCCATGAATTATTCATCCGACGATCTACCAACGATACTTTTTGTCTGTTTGATGATCCTTAAACCGTGACGCTTACAATTAGAGTTTATTAGTTCGAGTTAGATATTGGTGTAATTGACCAATGACGGTATTTAAAAGACGCAGCAATATATATAGCGATTCTATCTTTAGTCTCTTTTTCGATTGTTTGTATTCCGCTTTTGGAATCATAAGCGAGACTTGTAAAGCGACTGTTTTAAAAAGAAATCTTTTCTCCTTCCATCGTAGAAGGTTGTCTTTGTTTTACGATCGTTTTACGGTTCGCGTGAAAAGCGATTTTTCACGGATCGTACGAGATTGTTCCGATGAATCGAGTCACGGTAATGCGCTAACGCGAATTCTTTTTGTTCAGATGAAATTGAGACTCATTCTCTTGACTCATCGATAACTGGGTTGCCTCAATTTTACAAGAATGTTCTGTACCTCGATTAAAAATGACTTCCTTATCTTGCTTTATATATTAATCGTTCTATAATTAGATTAACTAGAAGACTGGTGTAAGTTGAAAAGAACCAGATAATTTCCAAACGAAATCTCGATATACATTAAGATTCTTTCTTACGGCGTTCTAAATCAGGTTTTGTCGATCTGTTATCGATCGGTGTAAACTTCTTTTCTCGAACCGGTATCGGACAAGAAAAGAACGAAAAATCAGAAAACGGAAATTTCATCAGACATTGGTCGCATGGTTCTAATCGATTCGAACAGTGGCGGATCGCTACTGTATTTTTTGTTTAAATTTATCCACCGACCACATCGAATTATCGTTATCGAATTATCCAGTTGTCAAGTTTAATCGATGCGCTTATAAATTCTTGATCAAACCACTCGTTTAGATAAGATTGCCCGTATCGGTGTACTTGTACATAAAATCCTCGTCAATCGAAAGAAAGAATCGTTGTACGTGAAAGATAAAAATTTTCGAAATCACATCACGAATTTAGGAAGAGAAAGAAACAATCTTAGATTGCGTAGTCGGTTGCGCGAAATGTGCACGTTTGCACGATTGCGTCGAATATCTGTGAAACGAAAAACACGCTGCAGATGAGGAAAAGCAGAAGTAAATGCGAATGACGCGATGCGTCTCTGTCATTTTCACGGTATGACGTTCCTTGGTAACAAATATTCTCCAGAATATAACGATACATGGTGTAATCATTTTCCTATGTACTTGCGCCATTAAAACGATAAAAATAACTCATACACACGTAGAGATAGACGTGTCTTCATAGATCAAACAACTATTCGAACGAAAGTATCCATTTCGACGGTAATCGCAAAGCTATATTTTTATCTTGAAATTTTATTTCACGAATTCTTGCGTCTATCTTTACACGTGTCCTGTCTCGAAATCATTGCAAGCGTTTTGCCCGTTTATCAAATTCATTGACAAATCTTCACCTGATCTTAAATCGTCTAATCAAATTGGCGTTAGGCGAATTTCATCGAGATATCCGCGTGTATGCGCAGATGTGCAACCCGGTTTCAGCGTGGTCATCTACTCCGCGCCAAAGATAGAGTCTGACATCATACACAGAAGCATCACTCGGGTCGAACGAGCGATAAACATACTTGCACACACGATACCTCTGCACGCGGAAGGTTTACGTTGTCTGTTAGAACTGTCTCAATTGACATCTTCCAATGCACTCTGATGTTTCGTGAGAAATCGTCGAAATAACGAAAATTGGCACTTCACCGGCAAAGATGCTTGAGAATCGTAGAGAAAAAGGGTTGGAAAACAACAAATTTCCGTTTTAAGTAGGATATCATGTCGAAAACTGGGCTGTAAGATGGTGAAAATTCCAAATACATTTCGAAACGAAAGGTATTCGATGAAGGAGGTTTGAAATTTTAATGGATTTTAATGGATTTTGACGGATTGAAACGGAACGATCGACGGATGAATTTCGAATCAAAAGCGCGATCATGTTCCTTGGATCGTGTTCATCTTGGTTTCACGAATTTCACTTTCGATCGTTGAAATCTTATCGAATCGAACTCGGTAAATTTGGAAAGACCGTATCTTTGCCACGATTTCGTTTTATTATTTGTCGCCTGCTTAAGCCGTATAGTAGCTCGTAACACTTGCCGTTACTCCGATAACGCACAGAGTATACAGCCTCGATCGCGTGTAAACATGCGTCTTTGTGCTATCAACCTGACGTCACCTAGCGTACAGTGTACAGATAATAAAAGAATGGATTTGATGGATGCCTTCACGGCATTACGTTGAATTCTTTTTTTCGTAGATCATCAAACAAAGTGGCTCATGAATTATTTATGCGCTCCACTAAATCAAACAACGTTGACAAATACTGTAACAACGAGGATCCTAAATGCAGTCAACGAATTACAAGATACATCCCACGCAACTTCCTCATTCACACTTCGCTTTCCAACCAATTTATCGAATCAGCCAAGCTCGATTATATCAAACTTCATCATCTGTTTCTAAAAAAAAAAAAAAAAAAAAAAAAAAAATAAACGCTAATCGTCCACTGTGATACTAAAGTTAAGAAATTTTTCAAGAATGCAGTTAGTCGGTTTAGCTTTTCACTTGGCTTAACGTTAATATCGCAATGGTTCGTCGAGTCGCTTAAAATTCGCTCGAGGAATTCACTCGAATGGCTGAATCGACGGAAAGAGGAAGAAGTAAAGACGTAAAGAATACGAGTTCCAGAAACGCTGATAAAGATCGATGGTCAAGCAACGCGATCGATATGATTAAACGACGAATCGCATCCTTCTCTTTCTTTCTTTCTTTTTCTTTTTTTTTTTCGACTAAAGAACGTTTACAGCCGAGTCATCGATAGTCGAACGACAAGCGGAATGCCGCGAGCGCGAACGTGGTCGATAGAAAGTGGTTCTCGAAGCGGCGCGGCGGAGTGGCGTCACACACAACTTGACTCACCGATTCTGCGTGTCGTAGCTCAACTCGCTTGCCCAACGGCCGACCGCGGTATTTATATTTATGCCGTTGACCAGCCGGCCCGTATACTATTTCCGCGGTAATTACGTATTCGAACCGCGTCCGAGTTTCATTACGCGACAGTCCGATCGACAATTCGCGAATATAGGCTGCGGATATCGATCGATACGGATCGATATGGGTGCAGTGTGCTTACTTAGGACGCGATCGAGCTTCGATCACTTTGTTCTTCTTCGTGCTTGATCTGGTGCATTTCAAAAAGCTCGGTCACTTTACGCTTACATGAATGGAGTTGATATTCAGATAAGATTCAAACGGCAAGACTCATTCGGTTCTTTGAATACTATCGATAAGCTGATAATTCTTGGGCAATTGCAACATACAATGTAACCACTAAGTGTCACGCGAGAAGGAAAAATGCACCATCTGACGATTATGAATCACAAGCTGAATTTCGCACGACGATGTCACGCTTCTAATTAACCCGAGACTGACGTTATCTATTAAAAATCACGCAGGGGTATCCCCGACCCGTAACGATCTTCCTTCTAACTGAATACGAATTCATCATCTTTCTACGTAATCCTTAAGGCCATATATATTATAATATCAAGGCTATATGTTTAATTCTAAGGCTATATAGTTAATCTAGTAAAGGAAATTTAAAATAGAAAAGAAATTGAAAATAATTTACGTTCTTATAAATTATACATTTGAAAGAAGAAAAAAATTCGAGGGTACCATTTTATCAAATATCCACGAAAGAATCCTATTAATATGAAAATCAGATGCTACGATTTAGCCTCGGATCGAATAAATCTTAAATCCTGAGCAACTGATTTAAAGTATTTTATCGTAAAATAAATAATATTAAGAGATACGCGACGGAAATCCAACTTGATAAAATATCGAAGGAAGAGAAGAAATGTGAAAGTAGAGCCCGACTCACCGAATTTGAATCTCTTGATCCTCGGC